TAGCAATCTTATTATCTGGATTATTCTCACTAGATTTTTCTTTACATAAGAACCACTAGCTGTTATACAGTAGATACTCTCATGCTCTCATTATTGATTCTATTTTATCTGTTCTTGTTGATACAGGAGCTTGAAGAGAATGCACGAACCCTTGAAGAGGAAAAAGARGTATGAATAAAAAGAAGTGATGAAAAAGTATTGAATAGACCTATCACGAATTAGCTTGACTGACTACGAAACAATGGTTTGAARTTGAGATTGAACTTGATTCTTTTATTCATCAAGTTCAACCTCGACTTGAAACCATTGTGTYGTGACCAGTCAAGCGAATTCAGGATAGGTCTATTCTGATTGGTTGAGTACGCAGGACTTAATTTGATTTAGGACCATAAGACCAAACACTGTTTTTATATTTTCAGTTCCATGTGACATTCCCTCAAGCATTTTGTCTTATATTTTGTAGTGGTTTGTTTAAAACTGACCTATCTTATGACCTTTGATGGGAGTTTTATTAATGGTAGTATCTGTATTCTGTTTTCTTTAGAGAGCTCAAAATGACTTGAGGAAACTAGTTGAGGGTGAGAAGAAACTGAAAGCACTGGCAGAAGAACTGAACAAGAGAAACAAATCCTTTGAAGTATGCAGTTGATCCTAGACTATGAAATTTTTAGGATAATTCATGGTTAAAATTCTGAATTCAGTAAAAGTGACTGTGAATTTCCAGATAGTAGGGTCGTTRATATGAGTTGACAAGCATCGAAGATGTCAATGCTGAGATGATGGTGCTTTTCAAAATGTTTTTTGTGCTGGTCCTTTATCATTCTTAGAGTTGTCTTCATTAGAACGTCAGTTTACCACCCTACCTCACCTCACCCCACCCAACCTCACCCCACCCAACCTCACCCCACCCAACCTCACCCCACCCAACCTCACCCCACCCACCCTGCACTTAATTGAATTTTATCTCCAGGATCCCTGAGTGCAGTTGTGCCAGAGTCTTTGAATCATTTATAAATTGTTTCCTTTTTTTTCAGGATGTAAAAGAAAGAGCAAGGAAACTGGAAAAACTGAACAGAGTAAGTTAGTGGGAAAAGTGTGGGTCTCACCGAAACATCTTTATTTCAACTCAGTGGTTAACATGACACAATAATTGCCACCCCACCTCTTTGCACTCCACTGTACATAAGGCTACCACTTAACATTACTAAGGGTTGATTGAATCTGTCTTCTTTTTCAGGAACTTAAAAACCAACTCCATGAAACTGAGAGACAGCAGCACTTGAGCTCCAGAAACTCTCTCGAAAATTCCCCCGAAATACAGGTAATATATCATTGGTAATGCTGTACTTTATGAACAGGCTACACATGTGGGGTCAAYAATATTATTGCTTGACTGTCGATCAAATGTTGGTTGAGTGTTGGCTGACTGTAAATGATTGGACAATGCATGACAGACATGAGTACTCTTTCAAGTCTTTTTGTTGGCCAATGTGTAGTCAACTAATGTCCACATAACAGTSGAGCTATTGTTGAACAATAGATGTTGACCAAATCAATCCTGTTCTACTTTCTTCCCAGTTAAAGAACAAAACAAGAATAGAAGACTTGGAGAAAAGTCTTGCTGCAGCAAGAGAGTCTGCCCAYACAGCAAAAATGAAATGGTACCAGGTATGACGGCAGCTAAAACTAATACCACAATATATTTCATTCRCTACATGTCTCAGTTGAGTGTGGCTAGCTTGTCAGAGGTTTCGTTCAGTCATATTCTTGGGGTGTAACCACATRTCTCAAACTCCATGGGAGATATAAATAGTAATCAAAACTTCCCCAATGTTGGTTGATCTAACAAGAATTAATCTAAATAAATGAGGAATTCTTTTTTAACTTACACCGCAGGCAAATCATTAAACTATTTCCTTCAAAATATACAAATTCTTTTTCTCTTTATCATGAATTTCAATTTTTGCTTGCTCAWTCATCCATGCATCAATTTATTAATTCCTTCGTCAATCCTTCCATTCCTTTCTCCACCCATTGACCCATTAATTCATTTGTTTGTTTTTCATTTCCAAGACCTTTGAAGAGCATTCAGAAGTTGTTAGAGCAAGAGAYGCCAGCATTGCAGCACTTCAGAGTAGCATCAGTGCCAAAGACCTGGAGCTYGAGGTACCGCATTGTGTGCACTACCGGTACATGTATATTTTTATGCATAATTCATATACATTGAGCATCATGATCTTGTCATGGTGGAAACACCTTTYGTTCATCATGCCTTATATGGTGTTGTTTGTACCCAAGCTAGAGTGGAATGGTGCATTGTGGTCTAGCTTGGGTGCAAACATCTTTCGTTCATCATGCCTCAT